GGTTTGGGGGTGTTGGGTGGGTGTATGGGGGTATAGTATGGGGGTGTTGGTGGGATTATTGAGAGTTATGGACTCTTCAATTTTTTATTTTATTATTATTTTTTCTTGTCGTGTGCCGACGACCCCCGAACGGTGAAAAGGAATCCTGCACAGTAATCTCATACACCCTGGATACAAATAATAGTAAGAGGGATCAGCTTCCATCAATCAGAGTGCATGAAGTGGTAGGCAATAAATCGGCAACCCTATTCGAGATTCAGATCTTGATACTACGAAGATTTTTGTGACTGAAAGAAGCGAAACGCATGCTGTGTCATGGATGACAGGGCAAAAGCTTTTACAAACAGCAACTCAAGCAATACTCAGCTAAAATGGGGTCGTGATGGCACCACAGAACTCGAATTTCAAGACGTACAAGGTTAATGAATCAGGTCAGAATTCCAAGACAATAAACATCCTTTTTCTTTTTTTTAATAGGATCCAGACACACTCAGAGTGAGTCCCCGATCCAGACAGTTTGGGTCCAGAGATGCCCAGATGTCTTGAGTCTGCCAGTTTTCGCGACATCCAGATCTATATGGGCGGAGGTGTGGTTTTCTGTCCAGATAGGTCCGTCATCCAGATCTGTGGTTAAAAAGACTGGCAGAAAACAAGCTCTTTTTCTTCCTTTTTGAATACATTCCTACACCGCAGAAACAGATGCACGGGTGATTTATACAGGCCAACCCCACAGGGCGTAGGCAGCGCCACCTACTGCACCACACAAAGGGCACAGTGTTGTCATCTGAGAAAGGAAGGCAACAATCAGGGAAATCTTGACTCCCTTACATCGTAGGCTCTCTCCATCCCGGGTGGCAGAGATGTTCAAGGACTTCAGGATGAAGTAGCTTCGGGTAGAGCTCAGGGACATCAAGAATGCATTGGAGTAATATGTGCTGTTCAACACGGGAAAAAGGCAGGTAATCAACAACTGTCTGCGCGTCATCGGGGGAATAGGCCGACGCTCAAGAACTATTTGGGGGAACGTTCAGGGCATGTCAAGACTGGGAACGTTCAGGGCATGTCAAGAGTGTGAATGCGTGGGAGGGAGCAAGGCCAAGAAGAGTCCTCATCCATTTTCGCAAAGTTCCAATCGCATACACAGAATAAGTAAAACCAAACGACAATCGATTGCAGTCCCACCTTCCGCGCCCTTTGATTAAGCTCCACGTACGTCTGAAGATCAAAGCATCCCATGTGAGGACAAGCATGAAATCGCGCGGGCGTCTTAATGCGTGAACCACTCAGCTGCAAACACATGTGGCCATGCAACAAATGTCAGACTCGATCGCATGACTCTGGTGTCACTTTTTGCAATCCCAAATTCAAAGCATAAGTAAAACAGGGTCTCATTCAGGGTAGTTATGGTGCCTACCACCGACGCCTACTGTAGCCAGTAGGCCCGCCTACCAGTCGGGCCAACCTGTAGGCGGACCCATCAGTGGTCAGCAGACTGCCTGGGAAATATTATTTGTTTCCTTCTAATTACATCCTCGTGCGCAGCTTGAGGAGACCAGCCCAAATCCACAATTTATTTTTTGGGGTGGTGGGGGCTGTAGGGGGTGGTATATATGCGTGTTGTAGGGGGTTGAGGGGGGGGCATGAGGGTGTTAGGGGTGGTACGGGGGTGTTGATGGGGTTATTTAGGGTTCTGGACCCAAAAGGAGAGAGAAAAAAAAGGTGCCAGCCGACCCCCAACCGGTAGGTGCCGACGAGCCCGCCGATCGGCAGATTGGCCCCCAACCAATCCAGGGTGCCGATCGTCGACGTGACTACTCTGGTCTCATTCCCCGTTCTCTGGTTGTAAAACACTGCCAATTATCTTACAATCCATGCTAACAGGAAACCCATCTCACACTCCGTTGCTGACAGGATATGTTTGCCAATTTTTAAAGACTTTTCCCTTTGGCGGAGGACGGAGTGAGGCCCATACTCTAGCCAGACAGCTAAAAGTGCTTGCACGGTCCAAAAGTGGGTGTGCTCTCTATTCTACAACAGTCCGGAGATATTACCCATTGTTGGGTAGAAGCACCCAAATTTGAACAGAACTTATAGAAGCCTATTCGCCAAAGGGCTGAATATTCTCTGTACATTGAACTTCTATTGAACGGATTTCATGTCTCAGTCAGGAGGTCTCAATGGTCACAGTCCCATGTACACAAGCCCAACCGGCAGGTCCCACGGCCAAAACATCAATTCAGGCCCTGTTGGTGGGTAGAGGTCGTACATTGTTAGAAATCCGGTAAGCACGGAACCTGACAAGAAAAGTCTGAAGTCCCAATCTATTTTTAGTAGCACCATCCTAGGATACTCCGGCGACTTCCGGAACTGACAAAAGTGCAGCCAACAAATCCTGGGAGACCAACAGCTCTGGAGCTGACAAAAATATCAAATCAGATGTGGATTCGCATGTCGCAGAAGCGCTGCTGTCCGATTGTGCAGCAGTTCGAGGCAACGAGTCAGGCATACTGGAGGAGGCAGCCGGCACCAGGGTGTCATAGCTAGGACTAGTGAGGGAGGAAGACACCATATAGCCACCTGGGGTTGAGAGCTGAGTGCATTCAGAGAGTGAGAGTGCACGATCCAAGTAAGAGAAGAGAGAGGGAGCAATGGTGAGGAATCTACAGGGAAGTTTTGGCACCTACCGCTGTAGGCGTGGCTACTAGTCGTGCTGACCCGTAGGCGAACCCGTCAGCGGTCGGCAGACTGCCTTGCAATTGTTTTTTGTGTCTGATTACATGGTCGTCCGCAATTTGAGGAGAGCGGCCCGAATCCGCAATATTTTTTTGGGGGGTTAGGGGGGACGAGGGTGTTAGGGGGCGGTATGGGGGTGTTGGGGGGGTGAAAGGGGGGGCTATGGCGGTGTGGATGGGGTTATTTGGGGTTCTGGACGATATATATATATATTATATATATATATATATATATATACTCTACTATTTTTTCTTTGCAGGGTGCCTACCGGTCTCCGACCGGTCGGCGCCGATTGGCGGCAGCCGACAGGTACGGGGTCGCCGACTGTTGGCGTGACTACCCTGTATTTTGGAGGGAGGGAGTTTTGGTAGCCATTGAGTTCGGAGACTTGCAACGATTTTGTATTTTGAAACAATGCCTCTGAGCTTTCGGCTGATAACTGTCGCATCTCTTTGGAGTCTGCCGAGTGTTCTATGAGCTTTGGAGATTGGCATATTTGCGATTGGGGATTCACATTGACGCCGATTGAGTCAGGTCATTGCACTATTACCATCTACATCAAATGTGATTATTCGCCCATGTTCAGTATGAACTTTACCACGCCTTCTGGTTACATGGTTACAAGCTTTTAGCCTGACCTCCTAGCAGCCCCTCGGGCAACCTATTACTTACTCACTCCTTCCCACCATATCTACCTAGGAAGTTCGGCCGAGCATATCATCGCTTTATCTGGATGCTACAATTGTTAGTAGATATTGATTATTTTCTTGGTTCCTCCGCAATTTGGCTTTGTTCTCCTCAAATTTCATCTCATGGGGGTAACTTCGGAACTGACACGGGAACCCCGGTTCTGTCCCGCCGGTTCAACTTTCCTGCCAAAAATCCTTGGCCACGCCCCAAGTACTCTGATTAACTCTTCCCAAGCATAGGAGATGCTGTGGGGCGTGATATTTTGTTCATCAGCCACGCCCAAACACAAACAGGAGTTCAGCAGTTTCCCATAAAGCAGTGATTTCCATCTGATGTAACGGATGGCATGACAGAGAAATAAAACTACTGTCCTAGGCCCCAAACCATCAAGAAGTACGAACCATGCTCAAATGTTTGCTTTTTTTTTCACCCTGTCAAGCTGCTGTTACAAAACTATGGCTGTGTTAATGGGCATCTGCAGATTAACTCTATCTCCTGTGTACAAGCTTGCCAGACATTTCACCACATAAACCCTCTTTTGGAGCGACATTTACAACCAGCATGAGCCGTTCTGTGACCTTCGTCCTTGCTGGAGAGCTGATTTCAGACGTGCGACAAAACTCACAGGGCAACCCAGGAAAACAGGAGAGGATGATAATACGCGCAACGAAACTCACAGGGCATCGAAGTGACACAGTCACAGTTTCTGCAACCATCTCCAGATCACTGTCGTCATCATCATCGTCATTGGCATTCCCGCCGCCACCTCCACCACCTGAGATGCACCTCTTCACCCTTGCAAGAGCATCGTCAAACTTTTCTCCATGATCAATGGACGGCACAAGGGCTAGCACCTGCCACAAGATTCATTAAGATTCAGATACAATGCTACAGCTTCAATAAAATGTTTCGCCACTCGTTGCAGAAAATTCCCTATTCCATGAGATATGGAAAGGTAACCAGTAAATCGGGGAGCTGCACATTACTGTTGACACATTCACTAATAACACTAAGAGAGAAGGGGGGGAGAGACTCGGAGAGCAAGAGAGAAAA